AATGTATGCAATGTGTTAATTATTGAAACTGTCTTACCAATTTGATTTGAAACTGTCTCATTGCTATTTGTTTATCAATAAAATTATGGGAAAAATAAATAAGTAAATAAATAAACTGAACTCAAACTTGACTCTGGGCGGTGACTTGAGCCTCTGGATTCCCCAGCCCACTAACATAATAAAAGTTGCCCTCTAACTCCTTGGTGCAAAAAAGTCTTCTGTTTGGTTTGTTATTGGTTTTCTGCAACATTACTATAGAAACCCAAATTGATTCTCTGGTATCAGCATAAATCTTGCTAGAAAAAATATGTTTTGGCACACATCAAATTGTGTATAGTGCAAGATGCAACTAAAACGCTTACTAAAAGGGCCTCAGAAATTAGACAGCATATATCTTGGACTGTCTGGGAATAGACTGTATGGCTCCTCCCCTTAGCAGGACCAATAGTCTGTATAATCCTCCTCTTATTTAGGCTCTGTTTTCAGACTCCTGTCCCAGTTCTTGCAAGACCCCATCTGAACAATTACTAATCAGCAGTTGTCCCCCACATCCCAAACAGTTCCCCAAGGCTTTTCTTCCCTAAATTACCCACTCAACCCACCTGTCACACAGGAAGCAGACATGAGATCCAACTCCCATCTTCTTTTTTCTTCTTCTTTTTCCTTTCTTTTTTTTTTTTAATTTGTTTAAACCATTTTATTTAGTAGGTAGAAAAATTTTCAACTCGGGGCTGGTGAGATGGCTCAGTGGTCTAAAGCACCTACTTAGAACAAGCTTAGCAAAGCAAAAGGACCGCAGTTCAATCCCCCAGCACCACATGCCAGCCAGCCCCGCCCCCTGGTGGGCTGAGCTGGCCACACACACACACACACACACACACACACACACATAAATTTAAAAAAAAATTAAAAAAAAAAAAAGAAAGAAAAATTTTCAACTCATTGAAATTGCAGACAAAAATAAAAGTCCAACTCAAATGTAGAACATGATCATGTTGAAGAAATGATATCAGGTGAGTACCACACAGTGCACTTTTGTGTGTATTCTCTCCCTGAATCTAATATTTGGACACTGTGTTATTGTTTAGTTTTGTCTTCCTACAGAACTCACATTTTATCTGTTTGTGTGTTTGTGTGAAAAAGAGACATAGACAGCTTTAACTTAAGGAATTGGCTTGCGTGTTTATAAAAGTCCAATAATTACAAAATAGGCTAGCAGTTAGAGGCCAAGCAGAGTTAGTTTTATAGCTCAGTTGTAAAGACAGTCTGGAGAAAGTCTGATCTCTTCCTCAGGGCTCTTTTTTTTTTTTTTTTTTTTCCTTAAGGCCTTCAATTGATTAAGCAAAGCCTAAACACATTATGAAAAGTATAGTAGTCCCTCACTATTTTGTGGTTAAGCTTTCATGGACTCACTGTTTTGCAGGTTTTCAAAAATTTAATCTAAATTATTAATTGTTTCCTTTCTTTTAAAATAACACAAGGAAGAGGATGTCAGGCTCACCTTGGGTGGGACTTTCCAGCATCCAACCAGTTTGTCAGCAGCCACACTGTTCTCAGGGAAAAAGAAAAAAGAAAAAAAAAAAAATCCAGCTCAGCAGTAGTGTTGTTGCCCTCAGTAAACACCAGACAGGATGTCATAAGGGAAAGATAAGACAGAACACAGAATCTCCCAAGCACCAGGACCTCTGAAAACATCCATACATTTACTTTGGATGCTTTGAGTACTTTGACCTCTGTGGCACCGGACATTCAGAGAACTTTGACAGTGGGTGTTTGCTCAGATCTCCTCACCTGAAGCCCCACACCCCCTTACCAGATCTCCTGATCTCCCCACCAGACCCTTTGTCCAAGCCCTATATATAAAAAAGCCTGTTTTTCTCTGTACCCCACAGCCAACCTTTTCACCCCACACCACAATGCCTTTACACAAGACTTGTGGTCTCTGCTGGTCTCCTGACTTGCCCCATTCCTTCAGGAATAACTGGAGAACCTGGAGCATGCGCTGCAGTGCCAGCTGGCAGTCCTCAACCAGGCCCTGTACTAGTAATCGCAGGCTTTGCCTAGGGGCCTCCCCAGTTCTCCGGTATTCTACGACAGTGGCACAGACCCAAACCACAGGTAGTTGAGGATTATACCAAAGCAGTCGCCGTGGCAGTCAATTGGCACCCAGCCTCCAGCGGTGGTGAACACCTCCACGTGGCAGCTGAACACTGCTCTGAACAGTGCTCTGTCCAAAAGCATACAGAGCATGGTGCAGGGCACCGAGCTGCCCAGCAAACTGCAGGCGTGGCGCCAGGATCCAGATCCGAGGACTTAGCAACTTGCAGGGACAGGGTCATGGCGGCTATGGGGTCAAAGACCTCCACCAATACGTTGGGTGGAAGGCAATGTGCTTTTTTTTTATTATTATTTTAACATTTAGTGTGTGTGTGTGTGTGTGTGTGTGTGTGTGTGTGTGGCCAGCTCAGCCCACCAGGGGGCGCGGCTGACTGGCATGTGGTGCTGGAGGATTGAACCGCGGTCCCTGTGCTTTGCCAAGCTTGTTCCAAGTAGGTGCTTTAGACCACTGAGCCATCTCTCCAGCCCCGGCAATGTGCTTTAACAGCCCCACTCTGTGCCCTCCCGCTACCTCTAGAACCTTTAGCAAACACGCCCACTTGCCACTAAACTGCAAAACCAGTCCTTCACCCCACTGCACTTGTGCCACCCAGAAGCAGACACCAGGCAGACACGGTGCACCTAGGCCCCACCCCCAAGACGCACATCTACTGCTTATGTCCCTAATAAATTCCAAGTTGTGCAGTCCTAGGTCTGTCTACCTTCTTTTTTTCAGTCTGACAGTACCTTTAACCTTTGGCAGCTAGTTCTCATATACTGGGACTCAATTTTTCTAAAACATCACTATTCATCATTAGAGATTCCAATGAAAGCACCAGATTTCCCAAATTTCAGTGTAGACACCAGAATCCCAGGGGACAAGGGTTCCATGGCAGTGTTGGACTGCTACATGAAAGAGGTGCACAGCCCACAGTGTGTGGGCTTGAAGGTAATCCAAATAATCTGACCTGCAGGGCTCTAGATTCCTGGAACCCCAGTAAGGAGCGTAACTAAGGAGACTGAGGTCCAACCAACCTGACTGCAACAAAGAGGACCCTCCCTCAATTTCCCAGATAAAATCACCCCACAAACCAGAAGCCCGTGAAGGGAGCAGGGTAGACACCTTAGGTGTCCATGTGTGCCCAAGCCAGGCCCCACCCCAAGGTGATACAATTCATCCGCAGGGTGCTACTGGAGTTCAGGGCTCTGATTCAGACCTATGAGAAAGAGCATAACATGGTCCTCAATGGGACTACAGAAAGAATACCTTGAGAGGGAGAGCTGGCTACAAAATAAATATACATTGTTAGATTTTTAAAAAGTATTTATTGCAAAGAATGCTGGACACAGTCCAATTTGTAGCTGAGAACCAGTGCCACTCACCCCTGGGAAAGCAGGACCTCTGTACCTTGGGCACATCAACCATCCCAGCTAAAACCTGGCAGCCACTACCAAACAGGCTGCTCCAGGGCAGAGACAGGGAGAGGCTGCGACTATGTACATCTGGCCCCCAGATTTCCCTCCACCCTGTCTCCAGACCCCATAGAGCATCCGTGTCCATTAACTCCTGCCTTCCCTCGGTACAGAGAAAAGAGTCCTGTGTGACTTGTCCCTGGTGACACCCAGACACCTAGGAACAGCCACTGACCCAAAAGTACCCAGTATGGCTAATGAGTGAATACATCCAGGTGACAGAAGTCATCAAAACCGTAAGAGGCACAATCAAAAGCTACAGCCCCATGTCCCAAAGCCAAATGTGTGCTTCTTGGGCCTGCATGGGGTTCAGAGCTCTGACAGGAGATGACTCCAAGAGGAAGATCCTACTCCAGCACTATCCTAAGCATCTCCCTGTTTGTCTATGCTGTGGCAGCATATGGGAATGAAAGGCAATAGTTAGGGCCAGGTGTCCTGATTTTCCTTAGGAACAGGTGGTACCTGTAGGCTACAAAAGCCCTGGGGGCTATAAAAGGCAGGTTTCTCTGCCAGGCACAGGCATAGAAAGGTTCTGGGTACAAAGTGAGGTTGAGCCAGAGGCCTGACTCCACTAAAGCCACCTGTGGATAGCAGGGTCTTGACCCACTAGCCTAGGCATGTTCTGGTCCCACCCCACAATGTGCTGGCTGGTCTGCTGGCCAGGTATAAGCTGGAGCCAGAACCCACAGCCTGGACCTAAAAGAACTCAGGGGCATAAGAGATGCCAGGTCTCATAAGGCCATTTTCACCTGGCTCACACACATATAACCTAAGCTGTATCAGGGCTAGAGAAATCCTCCCTTGCCAGGGGCTACCTCTGGATTCTAGCCTTTCCTCAGTCCCTAGGGAGAGGCCACAAACACCGGCACAGGTTTTATGGGACCACTGCAAGGTTTCAGTGGCATTCACTGAATGCACAGTTCTGCCACCAATGTACATTCCTGTGTGGACAGAGGCAGCCACAGCAGAGAGGCTCCTGGCCACCTGACTATATGTAGCTGCCACCGTGAGAATCTCAGTTGGGAACCAGATGTTCCCAGTCCAGTGTATGTAGTCAGGATGGGGCGGCCACATGTGCTTCCTCCACCTCACAACATGCTGGAGTGGCACACTGCTTTCCTGAGTCTCCATACAGTGAGTGACAGACTCAGGGCCTGGCCAGTGGCTGCCACTCCTTGGTTCCTGGCAAGGAAGCACAGGGAGGACTCTCCCTGTCACCTACAGCAGCAGAGGCTCAGGATCCCATGAAGATCTGGCCACTGGCTCAGCAAGGAGCCCCCAAGAGGTGAGGCTCTACAGGGTCTCCCTCAGGCAGCTGGGCCTCAGTGGGGACCTCTCAGTGAGACTTTCCATTTCACATTCACAACTATACACTTCACAAGCCCATTGGCCTGCTGACAGCGACCATCTGAGAACTGCAACAGAGCAGCTAGTGGCCAGCACTCTTGCCCTACCTGGGCAGTGCAGTCTGGCCTGGTGATTCTTAATAGCAAGTCAACAGCCACGGCAGCCTTGTCACTATCATCAAGGAGGCAGATGGCTTTGCCAGGGGTTCTGGGTGCTGCCAGCCATACACAGCTTTGACTGCTCCCATAAGGTCACTGTCACACATGCTGGGAGGGCTGGAATGACCTCATCCATAGAGATCTACACCCGCCCAGGCATCACAGTGGATGAGGTGTGGTCACTGGTGAGCAGGGACTGTGACAAGGGCTTCCTCTGGAGGCCGAGAGATGTCCACATTCTGCAAAATGATAGAAACACAGAACATTAACCCTGTAGTAGAAATAGGTGAGACACCTGCTGCCTGCTTCCCTTACCTCTGTGGCTACATGGACAGTCATACAGCCCTACCTCTAAAGCCCGAGCCACAGAATCTCAACCCTGACCTAAGAGTGTAGGGTCATGACTTCCCAGCACACAGTGGGTGCTCAGACAACATGACTGAAGCAGGGGTGTCACTGCAGGCAGGTGAGGCGTGAGCCGAAGCCAGGCTGCGCCCTCTCTACTGCAGGAGGAAGCAGTGGTTCTGAGAAGAATCTCAAGAGCTTTGACTTTGAACTAGGCCCTCAGAGCTAGTCACAGTGGTGCACACCTAAAATCCTAGCACTCAGAGGCTAAGGAGGGAGGACTGCTGTGAGTTAAAGGTCAAAATGTAAACAATCAAACACAAAAAGGACCTCAGAAAACACAGGCAGCAAGAACCCTTCTACAAAAACATCTCCAACAGGCCCAGAGATAGCTCAGGGGTAAAAGCGCCTGCCTCGCAAGTGCAAGAACCTGTGTTCAATCCTCTGTACTACAAAAAAGAAAGAAAAGTCTCCAACTAGGCATGATATCTTTTTTTTTTTTTTTTTTTTTCCTGATTTGTTTATGTTTTTGAGACAGAATCTTGCTATGCAGTTCAGGCTGGCCTTGGACTTACTATGTAGCCCATGCTGGGCTCGAACTCATGATGATCCTCCTACTTTAGCCTCTCTAGTGCTGGTATTACAGACAGGCACTGCTCCAGTTAGAAAGGGTGCTCATAATGCCCAGGTTGAGGTCAGGGATGTGGAACAACTCCCATCTGCCCCCTTGAGGCCTTCCTCCTCTTGCTCAGCTGAGACTCTCCTCCTTGTAGGACCTTCATGGTGACACCACAGGGAAGTCAACCACACCCAGGCTCAGGCTCTTCCTGCCTTGGTGGCCCAGCATCCACATCCTCCTCCACCCCAAGGCAGCTGGCCTTGGAGCACCTAACCAACCTTCAGCCCACCAGACAGCAGATTGCTGTGGCTGAGAACAGCCTTGGCAGAAGACTCCAGCTCCTTCTGGCTCAAGAAAGAGAAAAGCCTCAAGCAGGGGCCCTGCAGATGTAGTTTCTGGACCCCCCGGGAACAGGCCCCCACCCTGCAGGGACCCCAGTGCTACCTGAGGCCTGTTCCGGTGTGTGTTCACGGCTGCCACATTCAGGAATATGGACTCCACTTTACAACCTGCCGAAGGTAGAGGCAAATCCAGTCCCACCTGGTGATGCAGCCTCCACCACAGTGGACAGAGGAGGATGGGCTTGAGATGGGGTGGCTGCTAACCCTTACTCTGGCCCTCCACCTCCAGCAGCTCCAGGAAGGTAGGCAGGACGCAGTCACAGACCCCAAGTCACCCATCCCAGAGGCTGCAGGTACTCAGAGCAGGCACAGGCCTTGCTCAACATGGGGACACTAATCTTGGCGGCCCAAGCAAGCCATCCTCACCCTGACACATAAGATCCAATCAAGCTCACTGCAAGGGGGACAAGGAGTAAAGGGGATTATTGCACGGTGGAATGACACCAGCTACCACAGAGCTACATGCTGCCGTAGAGCTTCATCCTTCCATGAATACTTGTGTTCCAGGAGATCAGGAAGCTGCGGGTGTCCACTGGTGCAGTGAGAGACATGGTGGACACACTGCACTCCGAACAGTTTAAGGCCCAGCCCTGGGAGCCACTGATGTTGAGGAGGTTTAAGAAATAACAGTAGAGGGGCTGGAGAGATGGCTCAGTGGTCTAAAGCACCTACTTGAAACAAGCTTGGCAAAGCACAGGGACCGCGGTTCGATCCCCAGCACCACATGCCAGCCAGACCCGCCCCCTGGTGGGCTGAGCTGGCCACACACACACAATAAATAAATGTAATAAATAAAAATAAATAAATATTAAAAAAAAGAAAAAGAAAAAGAAATAACAGTAGAAAAGCCTCTTATGCCATGTGGGTTGGGTGACAGTTAAAGAGTGGTCCCCCGGAGGCTTCACGCGATCATATAAACTTTTCACTTTGTGATACTCAGTACTAAACAAAGGGTGTTATGCACACTAAGGTGTGAACTCTTAGCTATACCCCGAACCTAACACATAAACTTCTTTATCACGAACTTAAGGAGCACATCAGGAATACTAGTACAGGAGACCAAGGGCTTGTCCAAAGCATGGAACCCTGCAGAGGGCAGGGCTGAAGTGATCCCGGGTCAGTGCACAGGGGCTCCCTTACCGTAGGCCACAGGAGTGAGCTTCAGGACTGTGTGCAGTGGACACTTGAGGTAGGGCAGCTGTTCTGTAGACAAGGAAGAGAAGGCTGACATGCAGGGGATGCCCAGGGACTGACTCTCTCATGCACGCATGTACACGCACGCACACGCACGCACACGCACACACCCCACCTCCCTGGGGCAAGGCCCTCACCTGCTGCCTTGTCAAGGAAGTAGGCCAGGAGGCAGCGCATCACAGCCTGGTGGCAGATGACCAGCACATTCTCCTGCCTCTCCAACTCCATGATGACAGGCTCCAGTCGCTGCACCAAGTCCTCATAGGACTGCAGGGACAACAAGGGAAGGTGTCTCTAAGGCTGGCTCCAGGGGCAGGCACATTGGACAGTGAAGACACCACCCCACTGCAGAGAGTGTGGCCCCAGGCTTCTTCCAGCCTTGCTCCCGAGGGCTTGGTGGACAGCTGCCCCAGAAGACAGCCACAGTAAGACGACTGGCTTGCCGAGGAAGCTGATGAGTATGGGGGAGGGACTACCCAAGGAGCCCGCTCCCCACCCCTAGCAGCTCATCCCAGTAGGACTGAGAGGACCCAGCCTCAGGTTCCCACTTCAGGGGCCACCTCCTGCCCATTCATGGGCCCTGTGCCGAATCCCCCAGCATGAACTTCCTGTACTGGTGATCACGGCTGGTGGAAAAGGCAGACAGGGTGCACAGGGGCAGTGGGGAGGGAAGCAGAAGTCCCAGGGTCCCTCTGGAATGGGACAGTCAGACATCCCTGAGGTCCTCATGAACACCATGGTCTGCCTATGGGATGCCTTTCACCTCACTATGGTAACTTGCACTTGGACCTCTGCTGGTCCCTGGCCAACACTTCAGTAAGCAGATTTAGAGATTTTTTTTTTTTTTTGACCAAAACACTGGGCCTTCCTATGAGGGGAGTGAAACTCCCCTATATGTAATATGTAGCCCTTCAAAACAAGGCTCCAGTAGCTGAGCTTAATATGGCCCACACTCTACTAGGAAGCAATATCAACACAACACATTGTTCTGTGCTTACCCCAGTAGCTCTGGGAAAATCCTAGATCAATTCTTTTATCCTTTAGACAGGGTCTCACTATGTAGTTAAGACTGGCCTTGAACTTACTATATAGCCCAGACTGGCCTCGAACTCATGGCGATCCTCCTGCCTCAGCCTGCCAAGGCTGGGATCACAGGTGTATGCCACCACATCAAGCTCTTAGAGCAATTCTTTTGGGAACTTTGCAATTGAACTTTCCCTACTTTGCTCTACTGCAACCTGCTGGTTCTAAATCTGAACTCTCCTTTACAGGATAAAGCTGGGAACATTCCCATTAGTCAGAGCCCCACTACTCCTAAGGACAGCATAGCAAGCACGTCCTGGGAGCCTGCCAGCTGGGTGGGGAGCCTCTGTGCACGCGCATGTGAAAATACACACTCGTGTGTCTTTTTCTGTCTTTTTGAAGTGCTGGAGATCCAACTGGGACCTTACACATACTATGCAAGGGTTTTACTGAGCCATATTTCCAACCCTCTGAGCCATATTTCCAACCCTCTCTGGGGGGAGTTTTATTTGATCACTATCCAAGCCCAGCTCCCAGAAGGAAGAGGAGATGCCTGAGTTGATGGCACCCCTGGGTCCTGATGTAGGCCTCGGCTGACCAAGCCATTTGTCTGAGGAAAGGAGACAAGTGCAGGTTGCTTGTGGTAGCCACAATCTATCTGAGGAAGGTCCTCCCAGGGTCTGGAACCCAGGCAGGGTGAACCTTATACTGCAGGGAGGACAAGATCACCCTGTGATGAGGGGAAGCATCCAGAGGAGAGGTGAAGGCCTGGGGCAGAGGCATAAGCAGGCAGGACCTGGCACTGCATCCTGACTCCATGGCCACTCAAGTGCCCTGGGAAGGCCTGGTCTAGGAATGCCAGTGGACTCTGAGCTATTGGCATCCTAGGAAAGCCAGGACCACTCAGCTTGGCTCCCATTCAGGCTCACACCCAAGCCCTCGGCCACAGGTGGTACTCCTAGGATGGCAGCAGGTACTAGCACTGGGTCCCCATGATCCACCTACCTCTCCCTTGGGGTACCGATACCGGTACTTGTCCTGGTCCCGCAGGGCAAACTCCAGTGGATAATGATCCTGAATTTCCTCATAGGTCATTTCCTCACAGACACCCTGGGGAGACACACAGACACCACAGCTTTCACCTCAGGCCTAAACAGCCTTGGGGAGTAGCAGGTAGAAGAGACCAGTTTACAGGGTACTTTCTCAACTGTTTAGAAAAGTAGTCTCCTCAGCACACTGAGCATGTTGGCAGTCATCTGTCTGTGAGACTGTTAGAGGGGACAAAAGCAGTGGCACATGTCTATACTCCCAGCACTCAGGAGGCAGAGGCAGGAGGACTGCCTTGAGTTTGAGGTCAGCCTCAGCTCCCTAGTGAGCTCAAGCCCAGTTTAGATTGCGAAGTGAGACCCTGTCTTGAAAGAACAAGAGATAGCTCAGCAGCATAAGCACCTGCCTGGCAAGTACAATGTCCTGAGTTCAACTCCCAGTATCATAGGGGAGAGAGAGAGAAAGAGAGAGAGAGAGAGAGAGAGAGAGAGAGAGAGAGAGACAGAGACAGAGACAGAGAGACAGAGAAAGACAGAGACGGAGAAAGAGACAGAAAGAGAGCAAAAAAAGCTACCAGGGCCACTCTCATCCACCATACATAATCCATCTGATGTAGGAGAATGAAACTCCCAACCAGAAAGGTACCTGGGATGAGTTCATGTTCTCTTAAACTGAAGAATGAATTTTAGGAACAAAGAGAAGAGCTGAATATACTTATTGGGGGAAAAAAAGCTCCTGTCCTAGAGAGGCACAGAAGGGGGATCAAAGGGATTGCCCCCAACCCCAAACTGTCTCTTCCAGAGACTTTTATAAAGTGAAACCGAATGGTGAGGCAGGCCTAAGGTGGACATCATGGGAACTCGCTTAAGTGAGCATAAGGTGTGACAAAACTATGGTCAACCAATGAGATTACAAGCACCATTGCTCAGGTAAAATTCATTAAATCCAGGACCAAATGAGGAAGCCAGTCTTGTAGCAAGCAGGTATGAATACGGAACAGGATCTCTTCCTATTGGAGGTGACTCCTTTTGGGCTCTTTCAAGGTAATTGATACCTATTTAGAATATCAATCCCTGATGCCCATCCCTAGGGAAATATGTGGCTGCATTTGTTCACTCCTTTGTCTTGAGGTGTGGCCCACAGTGAGAGTGTCTGTCTCTTCCCAAGTTGAAAAGTCACCCTGTCTTCCCTATTGTCTCCTTGAGGGCCTGGCCCTATCTGACTGCCTATAACATTTCTATCTAATTTAGCTGCCTAGAACACACCCATTGAGTTTATGACATAAAAACAAAAAATGTTAGCTGTGTGTCTTCGTGTGTGTGTGTGTGTGTGTGTGTGTGTGTGTGTGTAGGTGTGTGTAGGTGTGGCCGGCTCAGCCCTACCTGGGGGTAGGGCCAGCATGACATATGGTGCCTGGGTCGAACCTCAGACCCTGCGCTTTTCTTGTCTAAGCTTGCCTAAGCAGGTGCTTTAGACTGCTGAGCTCTCTCACCAGCCCCAGCTGTGTGTCTTCTCTGTGCAACAGTAACTGTAATGCAAACCTAAAGCAAAACATCACTTATATTATCAGGACACACACATGCGTGTCCGTGTACACACACACACACACACACACACACACACACACACACTACAGATTACCTTATACGAAAGTGAAAACAAAACAGAACAAAAATCATCCAACCACAGAGAAGAAAGCTGATTAAAAACTAAGATAGCTGGCCGTGGTAGCGCATGCCTACAATTCCAACATTCAGGAGGCTGAGGCAGGAGGACCCCTACGAGTTCAAGCCCAGCCTGAGCTACAAAGAGAGACCCTGTCTCCACTGGAAAAAAAAAAAAAAAAAGAATAATTAAAAGAAGGAGGAAAAGGGACGTTGCTATCAATCTTACAGAAATGAAAAGCATTATAAGAAAATGCCATAGGGGCTGGTGAGATGGCTCAGTGGTCTAAAGCACCTACTTAGAACAAGCTTAGCAAAGCACAGGGACCGTGGTTCAATCCCCCAGCACCACATGCCAGCAAGCCCCGCCCCCGGTGTGCTGAGCTGGCCACACACACACACACACACACAGAAAATGCCATAAAAAAAAAAAAGAAAGAAAATGCCATAAACAACTAGATAGAGTAAGACCTAGGTACCCATGGGCTCCACACACGTGTTCAACTAACCATGGTTCAAAAATACTTAAAGAAAAAACTGCATCTGTTCTGAACTTAAACAGGCTTCCTCATCATTATTCCCTAAATAACACAACATAACAACTACTCACACCTGTCTGTGTGGGGAGAAGACCGTTGTGACCCCCTGAGATGCTGCTGCTGTGAGGGAAGACACCAGTGCTTGGGTTCTTTATTCTGTTGTTTTGGAGTCTGGAGGCAGTGCTGGGGTAGAGCCAAGGCTCTGCACCTTGTGGCCAAGGATCTCTACCGCCAAGCCACACCCCAGCCGTGCAGATGCTGTAGGCAGCTAAATTACATAGAAATACTATAGGCAGTCCAACAGGGCCAGGCACTCAAGGAGACAGCACTAAAGACAAGATATGTTTCAACTGTGAAAGAGACAGATGCTTCTGCTGTGGGCCAACCCTAAAGACCAAAGATCAAACAAATGCTTACCTCCCTAAAGATAAGCATCGGGGATTGATTATCACCTTTAGGTAGCCAGAAAGAGTCACTAATTCAACTGCTACAGGTTGGCTACCAGATAAACTCCTGTTCTATATCTAGGCTCGCTTGCTACATGACTTGTTTCCCTATTCAGTCCTGGATTTAATCAACTATACCTGAGTGCTTGTAATCTCATTGGTTGACCATAGTTTTGTCCCACCTCATGCCCCCTTAAGCGAGTTCCCATGATGTCCACCTTAGACCCGCCTCACCGTATGGTTTTACTTTCTAAGTCTCTGGAAGAGACAGTGGTGGGGGGAACTGCTTGGGTTCCCCTTCTGTCCCTCTCCAGGACAGGAGCTTTCTTTCCCCCAATAAATATATTCTGCTCTTAACCTCTGTTCCTAAAATTCATTCTTTGGTTTTAGAGAACACGAACTCACCCCAGGTAACTTTCAAGTCGGGAGTTTCATTTCCCTATAACACAGGGCGCTTTAAATTTACTCTTTTTCCATTTGAAAGTCTGATTATTTTAGTCTGTGAAATAAACTGACAATAGACAGATGACAGGAAACACATTATATGCCTACACCAGGGACATGCATGTGAGACTGGAAGAGATAAAAGACAACAGGACCCAGCACACACCTGGGAGGCTGAGCAGGAGCATTACAAGTTTTAGGACCACCAGGACAATTTAGTGAGATCGTGTTGCAAAATAAGTGAATTATAAAAGCTGCTTCTTTTTTACCCAGGTATAGCAGTGCATGTTTGTAATCCCAGCATTTGGGAGGCTGAGGCAGTAGGACTGTCATGAGTTCAAGGCCAACCTGAACTACATAGGGAGTCCCTGCCTCAAAAAACACTTTTTTGCTTACTTTTTACAAACAATATTCTGAAGACAAAAATCAAAACAAATACAACTGTAATGATGCACTCTGCCAGTTACATTATTAAGAAAACAGCAGAAAAGAAACAAAATGGAATAATATACCTTCATCCCCTCTAACAGTGAGTTATTTCCTGCTACGGACTTTGAGGAGTGTTTTTTATTTATTTATTTATGTGATTTTTGAAAGCTTTAAAGTAATGACTACAAGAACAAGAACACTGTCTACCTTCCAAATCACAGAAAAGGTATGTCCACAGAGAAAAACTGGAATAAAGAGAAAATTTCATGATATTGAAAACAAGAACTAGCTGGGCATGGTGGCACATGCCTGTAATCCCAGCACTGGGGAGGCTGAGACAGAAGGATCATTTCGAGTTCGAGACCATCCTGTGCTACAAAGTGAGCTCAAAGCCAGCCTGAACTACGTAGTGAGATCCTGTCTCAAAAAGACGAAAAAAAAAGAAAAGAAAGAAAGAAAGAAAAAGAAAAGAAAAGCTGCCAGCTTTTACATCTGTCATCCCAGCACTCAAAAAGCTGAAGCAGGAGGATTGCCATAAATTTAAGGCCAGCCTAGACTACATAGCAAGATTGTCTTTAAAAAAAAAAAAAAAAAACAAAAAACAAACAAAAACAAAAAAACGCTGGTGTAATGGCACACCCTTGTAATCCCAGCATTCTAGAAGCTAAGGAAGGAGGACCACCTAGAGCTTGAGGCCAATCTGGGCTACACAGTGAGTTCAACAACAGCCTGTTGGCCGGAGATATAGTGCAGCGGCACAGCACCTGCCTGGCAAGTGCTAGGACCTGAGTTTGACTCCTGGCACAGAAAAAAAAGGAACATCCCAAAAATTAAAAACAGTGCTGGGGAGATAGGTCAGCGGTGTAAGTGGCTACCTGGCAAGCACAAGGACCCGAATTTGATCCCCAGTACTGCCATATAGGTCTGCACTGAGCTGACCACCAAAACCAGGCATGGAATCCCAGCACTGGTGAGACTCAGTGAGACTGACACAGGAGGCTCACCATGAGTCTGAGCTGCAGAGTGAGACCCTGTACCCTCCCCACAAAAAATAAGTGATTTTTAAAAATTTGGGGGGGCTGGGGAGATGGCTCAGTAGAATATAATGGGACTGAGGAGATGGCTCAGTAGAATAAGCACTTGCCTGGCTGAGTTCAATCCCTGATTCTGCAAAAAAAAAAAAAAAGAAGAAGAATATAGTGCTTCCCTGGCAAGCACAAGGGCCTGAGTTCAATCCCCAGTTCTGCCAAAAAAAAAAATTTTTTTAAGAAGGGCCAGCCAGATAGTTCAGTGGATGAAAGCACCTGCTTAGGCAGACTCAGGGGCTAGGAGTTCGATCCCTGGGTCTGCCGTGCCGGCCCTGCCCCTGGGGCACACTGAGATGGCGATTGACACTGGGCATGGTGGCGCACACCTATAATCACAGAGCTTGGGAGGCTGAGAACAGGAGGATCACTACAAGTCTGATCTGGGTAGTGAGACCCTGTAGATCCTGTACTAAATACATCTAAAAATAAAATGTTAAAGAGCTGGGAATACAA